ATACGAAACCATTGAAGCTGACTATGAATGATGTAGTATCCATGCCGGACCAGTATGTGGTGCTTTAGTTCGTCCACAGAGATATCCAAATGAATGTAGAAAAACACTTAGTGCATGTGTGTAAATTTTGCATGATGTATATTATGATTAGCAAGCTTTAAACCAGTAGATTTGGTTTTAAAGCACAGATAAAATTCACGGCCACAGATAAAAGTGTTCAAATATTAGTGACAATTGTTGGAGAATCTCACAATTAAACTCAGTATTTTGAGGAGAACGACAGAATCGTGAGATCTAAAGTCAAAATTCAGAGAAAAAAAATTTAATCGCAAAAGATAATCTCAGAATTCTGAGGGAAAAAAACTAAATTTCAAGTTATAATCTTGGAATTTTGGGAAACTAAATCATAATTGCGGGATGTAAACTCAGAACTAAATCCGAGACAAGCCTGTCTCTGGGGTCTACAGACAGTTCCTTTGTCTTCATGCTTGGTTTGAGCTTTGACATGCACTGTCAACCCTGGACCCTTATATAGACAGGTGTAGCCTTTACAGATCATGTCCAATCAGCTGAATTGAGCACAGGTGAACTCCAGTGAAGCTGCTGAAACATCTCCAGAATGATCAGTGGAGACAGAATGAACCTGAGCTCCATCTAGAGCTTCACGTCAAAGCCTGTGAATACTGATGTACAGTACATCTGACTTTACTGCTTTTTTATTATTAATAAATTTGCAACAATTTCAAAAACTCTTTCCTCATTGTCATTATGGGGGATTGTGTGTAGAATGTTGAAGAAATCAATCGATTTAATCCATTTTGGAATAAGGCTGTAACATAAACAAATGCGGAAAAAGTGAAGCGCTATCAACACTTTTCAGATGCACTGTACATATAGTAAACTCCAAGGAAAAAAGTCTAAATTATTCAGTGTAAACATGGAATTATGGGATAAATTTGGAGTTATGGGAAAATTTTGGAGTTCTGGGAAAAATTTTGAATTATGGGATAAATTTGGAATTATGGGATAAATTTGGAGTTATGGGGAAAATTTGGAATTATGGGAAAAATTTGGAATTATGGGAAAAATTTGGAGTTAAGGGAAAAATTTGGAATTATGGGATAAATTTGGAATTATGGGAAAAATTTGGAGTTATGGGAAAAATTTGGAATTATGGGATAAATTTGGAATTATGGGAAAAATTTGGAATTATGGGAAAAAATTTGGAGTTATGGGATAAATTTGGAATTTCGGGAAAAAATTGCAATTATGGGAAAAATTTGTAATTATGGGATAAATTTGGAATTATGGGAAGAATTTGGAATTATGGGATAAATTCGGAGTTATGGGAAAAATGTGGAATTATGGGAAAAATTTGGAGTTATGGGAAAAATTTGGAACTATGGGAAAATGTGGAGTTATGGGAAAAATTATGGGAAAAATATTGAGTTATTGGAAAATTTTGGAATTATGGGAAAAATTTGGAGTTCTGGGAAAAATTTGGAATTATGGGAAAAATTTGGAGTTATGGGAAAAGTTTGGAATTATGGGAAAAATTTGCAATTATGGGATGTGAGCTCAGAAAAATCGGGATTTACAAGACAAGCTCTAAATTCTGGTAGAAAAGTCTGAATTGCAGGATGTGGACGTTTTTCTAGATCAATCCTCAGTCGTTCTGCTTCTCCAGTAAATCTCTCTTGATTTAAGACCAGATATTTGATCTAGAAAACAACACTGAATCACTGAGAAAGAACCTCACTGTCTGCAGCACACACACACACACACACACACACACACACACACACACACACACACACACACAGAGCACTGTTTCTCCACTCAGACGTGACTCTGTAAAGTCTATAATCTTCACCATCATCATCATCATCCTCCGAGTCACTGATCGACAGGAACAGGAAGTGAAGCTGTAGCACAGATGCACGATAAAGGCGGCTGTTGGGTTGCTAGGCAACAGCAGGGGGGTGGGCGGGGCCTAGTGAGGCAGAGGCACCAGGATGTCCACGTAGTTAATAGGGAAGAATCCTGATTGGCCGTGGATCATGCCCTCGTACCAGTTGTCGTCGATCTGATTGGTCAGAGTGATGATGTCGCCCTCTTTGAAGCCGAGCTCGCCCTCGTTCTCCGGCTCGAAGTCGTAGAGCGCGCGACAACACGGCTGATCCAGCGGCGCTGAGAGACAGAGACACACACACACACACACACACACATGCTCTTTAAAATCCACGTTGCCTTTTTTCCACAAATGAAGGGGCTAATAACTCTTGAGCATGGACCTTATTCACATGTGTGTGTTTCTCTGTAGCAGAAGTGCTCATAGTTGGTAAACTCAGAGCGCAGTGAATGGGGGAGCACAACAAATCATTCATTCACAATCCTGTTTGCTGAAATAATAGCAGAAAAACTCGTGGATGGTGTTATTAAGACTTTCAGAAAGAGGAAAACAATAGTGTGAGACTGATAACGGCAGAAAGAGGAGAGAATCATGGTGGAAAATAGAGTCCCACATAGCAAAATTTCTCTGGCCCAGCTCTGGCCCACACAATCAGGTTTTGCTTGGCCCACATGCCGCAGTGAATTACGGTACATGACTGGACCAAATCTGGCTTCCAGACAAGGGCCAAACACGGACCATATCTGGGCCAAGTCTCAGCCAAGTTAATAACTCATAACTGGGCCTGAACTGGGCCAGATAGGTTGGTGTGTCACGATTGCAATGAAATTGATAAACCCATGGAGTGATGCGCTTTAGGCACACTATGGGCACGCTTTTTCTCAAAGTGACCTGATTGGTAGAATTTTTTTTCTTTACTCAAAAATGATTTTAGTGTATTTTAAATGTGGGTCAAGACTGGACAAACTCACATGGCCCACTTATCAAATTTTTAAATCTGGGCCAAATACTACGTTTTTCATCTGGCCCAAATCTTGTGTGCTGCCTTAACCTTCCACATTTGTTGTGCAGGCTTTACACTTTCATGTGTCAAGAGTATTCATCATGTATTTCAATGCAAATCAGTGTATTTAGTTCTACATTTAGAAAAGATTTTCTTTATTATAGTATCCGTTTTTTAATCGGTGTAAAGAATAACTGGATGTTTACAAAAGCATTTTCATATTGGTAAAGGCGTCTGCAACTTTTGTGAAGCATCAAATCACCGGCATATTAATTATCAAAACATGTTCATGTCTGCTGAAATGTATTATTGCTTTAAAAAAAAAAGTGACATATTCTGCATTTCTATTATACACAATTTGTACTAAAGCGATCTTAAAAATTCATATCAATAAGTTTTCTCTTTGCACCACCAGGTGGCAGTCTTTGTACTTTCATTTCGAGGGTGCAGATTGCAAACGTTTTATTAATATGTATAACTTTATTTATTTTATTAATGACTATAACTTTATATATATATTTAGTTAAAAAAATATGTACCATTTCCCCAAGTGCATATAACTATTACTGTAGGAAAATATCAGAATTCGGAGCATACTTTCTGTATTATCTTAGCTTGAACTGAGCTGATCTAATCCTGTTTATATGAATTGAACCTGCTCCCGATCAGGTTTGAGCTAGAAGAACTGTTGCTATGACAACAACTCTCGGATCAGCTTTGAAGAACGAAACGATCCTGGATCATGTCAAATCGTCAACATCCAAATCCAGCTAACTGAGTAATCCACGTACGAAGAACGGACCCCTGAAATCAGCAGGAAGGTAGATCTCCAGGAACAGGATTGGCCCCCCCTGGTCTAGGGGGTCGAATCGAGATCGCCATCTTTTTTCAATTAATTGCAAAGCTCTAGTAGAAAATCTGCTTGTGATTAATATCTATCAATTGTTTCCTTTCGTTTTTTTTAATACTTAAACCCTAATCGAGATTCTCATAGCACAATTTATAAAACAATTCATTCTTATGGCAAAACCGCTCACTGAGTTTGCAAAATTAAAAGCTCAAACACTGCTTTGCACTCAGCTTGTAACACACACTTTACAAAACTCTAGGTAAAATCCACTGCACAGCACTCTTTTTGCGGACCTGTAAACACTGCTCACTGCTTTACACTGAATCTCCAAGTGATCAACACACTCCTAGCTATATACACTATATACACTACACTATACACTGCAATAAATGCTTTTCTTACTTAGATTTTTTGTCTTGTTTCTAGTCCAAATATCTAAAAATTCCTAAATCAAGAAGCATTTTTAGAAAAGCAAAACATATTGCCTTGTTTTGAAAAATAATATGCCAATATTAAGTCAGTTTTTCCTTAAAACAAGCAAAATAATCTGCCGATGGGGTCAGCAAATTAATCTTATGTCAAAAGAAGAAACAAGATTAATTTGCTGACCCCATCGGCAGATTATTTTGCTTGTTTTAAGGAAAAACTGACTTAATATTGGCATATTATTTCTCAAAACAAGGCAATATGTTTTGCTTTTCTAAAAAATGCTTCTTGATATAAGAAATTTTAGATATTTAGACTAGAAACAAGACAAAAAATCTAAGCAAGAAAAGCATTTTTTGCAGTGTACACATGTATGGCTGTTATTTACACTATTTTGCCGACTGTCTGGCACACTGTCACTTGGGAAAACTGTTTTAGATAATTAGTGTCAGGGTTCTGCCACTCTGGTCATGTAAATTCTTGTTTTGGTGGCACAGTCCGGACACTAGTCATGTCTAGTCCTGTCCTGTTGTGCTCGGCTCGAGTTTTCTGGGGTCGAGCAGTTGTTTCTGTCATTGTGTGTGTCTCCGTGTGCGTGTGCCTTCGTGGATGTGCTTTTGTACTCGTGTTTGTGTTGTTCTGTCAGCATCGCGCTGCTTTATTCTCAGCGTCTTCGTCTAGTTGCTTTCGGGTTTGGTTGACGCTGAGATGAAGCATGCACGTTGCATATGTGTGAGCGCACGGTAGGGTGCTTCTCTATCGTGCGCTCGTGTCTTGCGTCTGTTGTCAAAGCTCGTGGCTCCGTGTTTACATTGTGGTCACGTGCTTTTGTCGTGTGCTTCAGTGTTGTCATGAACATGCGGTTCCTGAGTTCTCTCATTGGCTGCATGTTCTTGTCCTGTTTTATGTGAGCGCATGGCTTGTCCTGTCTCTCTCTGTCATGCGCTCTCCCGTCTATTGTCTTGTCCCACACACCTTGTTCTACTGTTTGTAATTATTATTTTCACCTGTCCGTCTGTCTGTTAATGGTTTGTCTTTCCTATTTATTCTTCTCGTGTGCTCTGTTCTGTGCTGGTCCGTTGTTGATTGTTTCCCTTCTCTGTTGTATGAGGTCTGCTGGTATCTGTTCTACAACAGTGGTTTAAAGTAGTGTGTCATGCCAAGATCCAGATCAAGTCTAGTTGAGTGTGTGGTATAATGTCGTGTTTTTCCCCACATGGGGAGATTTGAGTTTTGTTTTATTTTTTAATGAATCCTTCATTTCCTGCATTTGGGTCCTCGCCTCCTCTCCATCCACCCCCTACCCTGACAATTAGTTCACTTTGCAACGCGGTTATTGTGTGTCAGTGTGTGTATTTGGGAGTATTTGTGTATGTGAGTGTGTGTATAAGTGTGTCAGTGTGAGGGTGTTTGTGTTAGTGTGAGAGGGAAAGTCAGTGTGTGTGTACCAGGCGAGCGTGCGGGTGATTTGGCAGAGTTTATTCCTCCATTGAGGGTCTCGATGGGCAGCTGAAGCTCCATGCGGGGTTTAGGAATGAACTCCTTCCGCGGTTTGTCAGACATCTCCTTTACCCTGTAACACACACAAGCACGCACGCACGCCACACACAAACAAGAACTATTGAAGACTGACACTTACACTAATACACTAATACACACACACACACACACACACACACACACACACGTGCACACACACAGCAGGTGAATCTTCTCACCTGTCCTCGATCTTGCTGGAGAGCTGCTGCAGGATCTCTGCGGCCTGTTGATGATACTCCACCTGAGCCTGAACCAGAGCGGCCAGCTGACTCACCTGCTCAATCTGCACACACACACACACACACACACGTCATTAAGTATACAGTACTGTGCACTATACACTCACTGGCCACTTTATTAGGTACACCTTACTAGTACCAGGTTGGACCCTTTTTGCCCGACCATCCGAAAGTGGCAGCAGAAATGGAGACTCATCAGAGCAGGCAACCTTTCTCCAACCTTCTGCTGTAGCCCATCCGCCTCAAGGTTGGCCGTGTTGTGTGTTCAGAGATGCTCTTCTGCAGAGCTCGGTTGTAACGAGTGCTTATTTGAGTTACTGTTGCCTTTCTATCAGCTGGAACCAGTCTGGCCATTCTCCTCTGACCTCATCAACAAGGCATTTGCGCCCACAGAACTGCCGCTCACTGGATATTTCCTCTTTGTCGGAGCATTCTCTGTAAACCCTAGAGATGGTTGTGCGTGAAAATCCCAGTAGATCAGCAGTTTCTGAAATACTCAGAGCAGCCCGTCTGGCAGCAACAACCATGCCACGTTCAAAGTCTCTTAAATCCCCTTTCTTCCCCATTCTGATGCTCAGTTTGAACTGCAGCAGATCCTCTTGACCATGTCTTCATGCCTAAATGCAGTGAGCTGCTGCCATGTGATTGGCTGATTAGAATATTTGCATTAATGAGCAGTTGGACAGGTGTACCTAATAAAGTGTGTTTATTGGGGCTTCCCTTGTTCTATCTGTCCTGACATTTTCTCAAATAATGTGCAGTGTTATAACATCAGGCTTCTATAAGCACTTTCCAGAGCTCTACTTTAGCCTAACGCCCTATTCACGCGGGGTGTCAGCTTCACCGCTTTTAATGGGTGATGTCAGGCATTGCTGAACTGCATTGTGGATCGGTCGGCGCCGCTTCAGAGGCGTTGCTCGCTGCAGAAGTTGGAACCTACTCAACTTTTCAAGCGCTGACAGAAGCGTCAGCCAATCAGATCGCTGTATGCAAATACACCAGCTCAGACAGTGGCCTATTGTTGACTAATTTCATTGGCTGACGCTGCTATGACGATTGCGTCAGCCTCAACTTCAGACACACCCTCTGTCAGGCGTTGACACTGAAGCCCCGTGTGAATGATAAAGCAGATTAAATCATGAACGTACGTCGTTCTCCAGCAGGTTGAACATGCTCTGCTCTGCGATTTCTTTGGATTCGTCAAATTTCTCCAGCGCCTGCTTGATCTCGTCGTCCGTCACTTTCCCCTGGCGCTTCTTCTTATAGTCGAAGTCCAGACGGCGACCCTCCATCTTCTTCAGGTGATGCTGCGGGACCAACACAGAGTGTATTAGTGTATGCTGGTGTGGCTGTGTGTGTGAGTGTTTGTTAATGTTAGTGTGTGTGTGAGTGTGTGATCATCAGTCCAGAAAGCGCACTTGTATCTCCTTGAGGTCTTTGTCGTGCAGGTTCTGCAGCGGGTCGATGAAGTTCTGCTTCACTGTGATGTCCAGAGCGTCTTTCACCTCACCCAGCTCACGCATCGACTCACCAGCGTCCAGCAGAGCCAGACCTGACACACACACACACACGCACACACACACACACACACACACACACACACACACACACACACACACACACAAACACACACACACACAGACACACACAAGCATTAGCACATATTAGCACATACACACACACAAACACATACACACACACAGACACACACACACAATTAAACACACACAAGCATACACACAGATGAGCACACACACACACAGATAAGCACACACAGATGTACACACACAAACGTGCACACACACACGCATAGATGAGTGCACACAAATACACACACACACACACACACACACACACACACACACACACACACACACACACACACACACACACACAAAAACAGATCAACACACACCAAAAACAGAGTTACATAGAGTGATTAGTGCACACACACACACACACACACACACAAATAGACATGCGCGTAAACACAGATGAACACCACACACACACACATGGAGAGATGAGCATA